GCTAGTAACATCTAAGCTTATCACTAGCCACTAGGCTAGTAAGTTGAAAAGTTAGTGTCGAGCCCTGGTCTACATAAGGGAACACAGTTATCTAATTTTAAAAACACCAAACACTAAATAATTAGACTAGTAAGAGCAATGTCCACGAAGAGGTATTTTCATTAATATATTAAACTAGCAGATGAATTTTAACCTAAATTTTCTACTTTAATATTTTGTGCTTAATTTATTGACAAAATCAAACAGAGTGATATGATTGATCTATTATGAAGTTTGCTGATGGAGTAAATGTAAAAACACATTTATTTATACAATATGGTTTAATTAAATTTTCTTAACAGAGTTTTGTTTGAAATTGAAGAGGTGAAAAAATGCCTGAATAAGGTTTCTTTAAACAGACGAATATTGATTACCAGTAGCAGGTTAGCCTTATTAAACCATTGAATGATTCAACACCGAAAAGCTTTTGAACATTGGCAGTAATAATAATATTAAAAGGTATGTCCGATGGAGTCTTCATTTCCACAATATAAACAATCCCTATCTTGTTTGATATTGAAGCAGAAATTATAAGGGAACAGATAAAAACCTAATGTGTGCATTGTCGAGTTACGTAAGCATGCAGGAATTTTTAAGAACATGTGAGGCATGCATAGAGAGGTAAGGGACACAGCCAAGTTCTTCTCTAGATACTTTTTCTCTATAGACTGTTCAAGAGTTCTCAAAAGAGTTAAAGAATATTGTAGGTTTATGCAACTCACCTGTGACTTGGTCCATAAACCTACAAAAAAACTTGTCTGACCAATATTTCTCTAATATGAAGCTCACGCTAGTTCAGTAACCCATATAGAAGTTTTGGAATGTGCAAATAATTTTCTTAAATATGAGGTGCCACACACCAATGTTTCACACTTACAAGTTGAAAAGTGTTGTTGCATGTATTAACACCTATGTTGAGGTAACAACATTGAACTCCTGTCTAATTTGTGTAACATGCTGTCACAATTTGCAATACAGGTAGTAATATACACAATAAAGCTTTTCAACTTGACTATCACACAGCCTTTGCAGGCCACGACAATTGCCAACCTAAAAAAATCAAAATCCAGGACTTCGTCAATTGTTCAAAGTAGACTGCTCCACCAATTCAACTGCAAAATTGCATTACTTGAAAATTTCCCCAACAAAATATGCCAAAAACATGCCTAAAAAATATATTTCATGCAATTTGCCTCGTATTGTCCAGACGATTTGGTGACCTAGCTACACAAGGAGATTTATTCTGTATCCAGGAGACTCCAAGGTAG